GGGCAGTCTCGCTGGTAGGACTTGAATATGTTCCAAGTATCCTTGAATGACTCTTCAGGGGCTTTGGTGAATGTAGCAATTTTCTTCCTCCAGTCTTCAGCGCGTGAATCATCAGAGAAGTTACGCAGGAAGGCGTGCTTGATGTCACTCCATGTGGTAAGGGAACCTGGTGGTAGTTGTCTCAGCCACTGCAAAGCTTCTCCACATAGAGAGTACTTGAAAAGCTTGCAGAAAAGATAGTCTTGAGGGACTCCTTTTGCTTTGAATAGGGTGACAAGATCCTCGAACCTCTCCAGACGGTCCATAGGATGCTCATGGGGCAAACCACAAAAAGGGATTTGTCCTACAAGTGTGTAGTACTGCGGCTTGAGCTCAAAATCTCCTCTCTGAATAGCAGGAGGAAGGATGGCTGATCGGTTTGAATAGAACTGATCCGGACGGTTGTAATCAGCCAAAGTTCTTGTCTCTTCTACAGGTTGAATGATGCATGTGGGTGCAGTCTCTTCTTCAGTAATGATCTTTTTCTGATCATTCAGCTTCTGACCTGATGCATTTCGCAGGTGACCATCTTGATCACGCAGGTCCCCATTCTCATCGGGTATGAGAATCATAAGCGCTACCATGTCTCACCGGTTAGTATCGATCGATGTAAGGTGAGGTATATCGATCGATGTCAAGTGAAGGGTATCGGTCGACGAACGGTTGTTGATGTCGATCGATCAGGTGGTGTTGGTGGCAGTCAACGAACGGTTGTTGATGTCGATCGATGGGATGGTGAAGGAATCGGTCGACGAACGGTTGTTGATCGTCGGTGGAAAGCGCGTATCGGTCGATATAGAGGTGTTGGTATCGATCGATGTGGAGCGTATGTCTTTGCGGATGCTACATACGCTCCAGATTGTTGGGATCTTCTGAGTACAAAATTTGCTTGTCCTTGTTGCTTCTAGTACTGCTAGGCATGTACCTGAAAGAGACAAAAAGAAAAAGAAAAAATTTGGGTCAAAAGATGGAAAAAATAAAAAAGTAACAAATAACCTAAGACTTAATCAGATTAAATCTAATAGTGATCTTAGTTCCCCGGCAGCGGCGCCTAATTTGATATCACTCAAATGTTTAACCCTAATTAGTGATTTACTCTCTCAAATAAGAGGTTCAATCGTAGTACTTAGGGATCGAATCCACAAGGAACTAGAGTCACAAAAGATATAATCCTAAGTGATTAAGCTAGGTTGAAAAGGTTTTAAAACAATAAATAAAAATAGGTAGCAATGGTAAGTTGCTAAGGAAAATAGGTTTTGGGTTTGAAAACAATAAAAGAAAGTAGTTAGATTTAAGGTTACTATTCAGAAATTCAGGATTATAAATCTATGGATGTCTTAACGAATTGCTTGCAAATATATGAGAACTTCAATTCTTAAATGAATCTATAGCTGTCGCTATTAGACTCATCCATTGATCTGATTGCCGACGGTATTGATCGATGTTTCTATCGCAGTGTCGACCGATACATGTTGCCGTCGATTGATGACTCTATGAGAGTATCGATCGATATAGTATCAGATCGGATTGAAACTGTGTTCACCCGAGAATTTCTATTAGACCGGCTGTCGCATCGTGCCTAAATAGAGTCTGGGCTTAGCCAAATGATTTCAGGAAAATAACTATCAGATTAGTCACTCCATAATCATAACTCTAGGTAGCAAATCTAGAGTAAGCATTAGGGTTCATTTGGATAATGAATATAACAACTCAACAATCTATAGTTGGGGCTAATCCCTCATAACTATTTGAACCCCAAATCTAACAAATGAATCTACTCAGACATAGCCAAGAGATTCATAGCAAAAGAATAAGATGAAAAGAAAATACTTTTATTGCTATATAGAATACAAAAACTTAGATCAAAACTTTCTGAAAAATATATTGATGTCTTTCTAGGGCTCATAGGCATAACTATAAATATGGAGTACAATTAGGTTAAAAACTTGTCAGGGGAAATCTTGTAATTTGGTGAGAACTTGGCTTCAAGTCGGCCAAGTAAATCTTGCTCATCACGCTCTGTATCGATCAATGGTACATTGCGTAAATTGATCGATGGAGTATCTCGACTTCAACTTCTACAGAATCGTCATCGATCGATTACACAAGGTGTGTATCGATCGATATGTGTCTCTCAAAGTCGGATCTTCATAGTCAACTTGTAAAACTCTCCTTTAAGCTCCATAAGGCACCTAAATCATCACTTTACGACAAAATGCTCATGAACCTGAAAACATACCTAATAGACTCCAAAACATAGATAATTATAATAAAAACATATAGAATTCATGACCAAAAACGGGTCAAAATCATGGTATATCACCATCTCTATGAGCTTTTCGCCTGGCGCTGATGGGCTTTGACGGATCGAACGTAGTCGCCGCATGGGGGTGAGCCTCCCATGATAACGTTAGTTCGTTTGCCTTGAAGTTGGGAGCGCAAATCATAAGGCAAACGTGCGACTGTCGTTAGCTCTTGCTTCGTCTGGTTACCTTTGTTTGTGTCGAGCTGCTGTCGCAGATCCTGGATTTTTGGTTCGCGGAGCTTGAAGCGGAGGTCGGCGATCTTTGATTTTAGGTGATTTCTCAAGTCAGCTCCGTCTGGGGGAGAGCTGTGTATGTCTGGATCGTCGATGACTTCAACTCGTCTGAATACCATGATAGCAACATCATCTTTAGTGGTGACGGACTTTGATGGTGTCGTCTTGGTCACGACGGTCCTTTGTTTCAATATGTGTTGCAAATCAACATAGCTCAAGCTATCCCGTTCGGTAGGTCGCTTGTTGATATACAGACGCAGATCTTCTTGGATGAGTTCGGGCTTGCTGTATGCTGGCGAGCTCGGGCGTGCGAGAATGACTTTGACCCGTTGTCGGTTTCTCGGCTGCTCTTCTTCGGCATACGAGTCTTCCTTTTCTTGCGTTTTGGGAGTTGTTTCCTCGGCATTCGCCTTTTGCTCGGCTTGTGGGCCTTGGCTTGGGACTTTCGAGCCTTCTTGTCTTTGTTTTTGCTCCAGCTGTTCTCCTTTGGTTTGGCCTTAGGAGGTTCAATCTCAAATTTACCGCTGGCGACAGAGGAGAGGAAATTCTCGTATAGAACTGCGCATTCCTTTGTGTCGTGCTTCTTGCTTTTGTGGTACGAGCAGTATTTCTCCAGCTCTTCGAGTTTTGACCCTGATGCTTTGGACGTGCCTGGTGTCTTTTGCTCGTCATCCGTCCTGTCCCAGTGGTTCCATCCTTTTGCTCGGACCACGACTCTTGAGCCCGGAAGGTTGTCCTTGTCGACCATGTAGACGAAGCTTTTCTTCAGGTTCGCTTTGTCGCTCGGGGCGTGTTGTCATGGCTCTGGACGGGTGTCGCTATTCTTAGACGACGCCTGCTTCGTTCCGTTCTGCTTGCTGATGATCGCCTTGGTGTCTTCTTCCATACGGATGAAGTTATCAGACCGAGCAATATAGGTCGTCTCGGAACTTGGAGTGCACATACAAAGTGTTCATAAGGGCATCTACAGCAATGCTGTCCAGGACTTTGACTTTGGACACGAACCCTTAAATTTTTCCATGAAGCTGCGAAGGCTCTGCCCTTGTGCATGGGAGAGGTTCCAGAAATCCGAAGCGGTGGCTTCCTCGCATGTGAACATTATGTAGTTCTTTAAGAAGACGGACGATAGGTCGTGAAAACTATCGACAGAGTTTTCTGGCAAGCCGGTAAACCACGTGAGTGCCACACCGGTTAGACTCTCGGCGAAGAGTTGGCAATAGCCAGCGTCCCGCTCTTCGTCGGAGAAGTTCTGTCGGTGCATCGTGATGTTGAAGGACGTGATGTGGGCGGTTGGATACGAGAGACCGTCGTAAGTCGGCAAGCGGATCTTGTCCATCTTGCAGAGTCTTACGTTGGTTATCCTACTAGTGAACGGAGTCCAGAGGGTGTCCGCGAGGACGCTTTCGATGAGCGGGGCAGAGGTCGTGACTCCGTGAATCTTCGAGTTTATGTCGAGGAGAGCTTGCTTAAGGGCGGCGATTCCTTGATAGTTTGTAGATCTGGGCCGTTTTCCAGTTGCGCGGAGTCGTCCGGGGGTCCGTTCGGCGCGATGGGCTTGTTAGCCGGAGTAGGGGTAGGGTTTTTCTGTTGAAGAGAAATCGTCGGCCCGTCGAAAGGTGTCCTCCGGCACCGTCTGGGTTTGCGAGTATGGCGGTGATATTTGCGAGGTGCTCTTTTTCGTCTTCTGGGCTTCGTCTTGGCGAGCGAGGCGCTCCATGACGGAGTCGACGAAGGTCGTAGCGAGTGGTACGGCGGCGCCTGAGGTCGGTGTTATGGCATCTCCCTCGTCGCCGGAGGTTGAATCGTTACTTGGACTCATCTCTGTGTTGACGCTACTTTGTTAGGCCCCACGGTGGGCGCCAACTGTTCGAACCGAGTTCGGTCTTTTCAGTAAGTGAGTGACTGGACTCGTATGTGGGTTATTTCAAAGGCGTCGTTACTATTTATGAGTGGAAGAATAACTTTATTGATGAAAGAGTTCAGTTACAAATGAGGAAAGAAGAGGCGAGGCGGCGTCGCTCGGAGAGCTTATCCGTGCCATACAAGTCAGAAGGAAAGTACAAGAGTGAAAACCCTAATTCTAGCCGCCTTGTGAGTGATTCTGATTTCGGATCCCCCTCCTTGTTGCCCTATCTCCTCCTTTTATAGTAGCCTTCCTTTGACCTAGCTAGCTGGTTGCATGTGTGGAAGGCTTTCACCAAATGGGTCCTAATCGGCCCGTTAAGGCGAGTACCTCGCCTTAAGCGTTGTTAACTCAGTTAATCGCAGAGATTATCCGAGTTAAACTCGATTAGTTGCTAATCGCGAGAGTGTTACCTCGTCGGGTCGGAGCTCGTGTGGGTCGAGCCCATTATTCAGTGGACCTTATAAAGGGGAGTATTCCACCACCTACAAAATCCAAAGCTTGGTTTGATGATTTCATATGAACTGGGTTTGTTGGATCTGAGATTTTCTCTGCTAGTCCCGACTGTTTCGGTTGCATTTAGTTATGGTATTGTGGCATTTGTTGGTAGCTTTGTGGTGTATGTGTAGTTCTTTACTGCAGTATGCAGTTGTCCATTTACTGCAGTATGCAGATGTTGTCCTTTTACCGCAGTATGCAGGCTTCCTTCTACCTTTGTCCTAATGGCTTTTGTAATGATATGGTATTCTCTCCTCTTGTGGCAGCGTGGAGTGAAAGTTCTTAAGTTATTTATCCTTCCTGCAAATCTGGCTAGTTTGGGCAGTAATTGCCCTTCTTTCTCCTTTAAGGAGTGTTTCGTCCTCCCACATATAACTTGTTATTAGTGAAATTGTTATAGGGAACATTGTTTTGAAGATGGTTATGTTTCAAGCAGAAGTAAACATGTTTATTGTCTCTCATTTAGATGGTATCAACTGTCTGACCTCTTTGACTATGGACGGTTTCATCCCTCCTCTTTATTGTTTCGAACAGGAATGTCAATTTGAAGAAGTTTTCTTGATTGGCTGCCCTCTTTTGGAGACAACGGTGGTTGAACTCGTGATATCACCTCTATCTTTAACCTTTTATTTAAGTACTTGTTGTTTAAGCTTTCTCATTTGCTTGTCCAGTGTATTGGTCTATGCTTTGGTTTGTTTGGCTCCTTGTAGCTTTGTTGTAACCTCCGTTGATGGAGTTGAACTCTTTTAAGTTTCAATGAAAAGTTTGTTTGATAAAAAAAAAGAAGGCTTACCAACTATTTTCTTTTGTCAATTTTTTCATCTTATTGACAATTGGAATTTCTATTGGTTGTTACAAGTGGATAACGTCGGCCTAAGTTCCCTAATGCACGTTGATAAAACTTTAAGTTCATTTTTATCCTCTTCAATTTACTGATAATTGTTATCTGTCTAGGCAGTGTTTTCTGTCTAGCTGTGCTACCGTATACGCTACCATACCGTTATCAAGTTATACAGTGTTTTATTCGGATTTATATAGTTTATGCACATAATAATGTTTAGGTCAATATTATACAATCTATGTGGCTGAAATGTATTTATTCATTACCATTAAAAAACTAAAATTTTGATATTATTATAATTTTTTAATATTACCTTTTAATTATTAATTATTTTATGTATTTATAGGATTATAGCTATTAGTTTAATTATTTATGAAAAAATTAAAAATTTGCATTTACAGTTTTATATATTAAAAGAGAAACTTCTTTGGATAGCCAAATTTATTTTCATAAAAATAGTCATTAAAAAAGAAAATGACCAAAATAAATTTTTATTAAAGAGTAAATATACACTTACATCATTAGATTAACTAATCTAAATTTAGAGTTTAGAGTTAAGGGATGAGGTTTTGGATTTAGGATTTAAAATTTAAAAAAATAAAAAAATAAATATTATAAATTAAAAAATAAAAAGAGGCTATTTTAATCATTTTATTTTGTGAGGCTATTTTATGACCAAAACTTAAAAGAGAAAATTACTAGAATCTTATAGAAAAGTTGGTATATTACTAGTTTAACATATATCTTTTTAAAAATTACTAGAGTGTTTGTAGACCCATAATAAATGGAAGTTAGCTCAAAAAGCATAGATTTTCGAACTTATATTGAAAACCAAACAAATTTTTTTTTATTACTATCTTTTTTTAATATCCAGCGTGCCTTTTTTTACGTTGTAAAAATTCGTAGTTACAAGAATGCCATTACTTTTTAGTGCCACGTAGGCAAAAACTCGGCTCCACGTCAGAATGCGGCACAAAACTCAGTCGTAATGTGATACGAACTTCGTTACGGCCGAGTCATAGTTCCGATGCGGCTAACTTAAAGGAAGCGGCTGACTTATGAGACATACGCTAAGTTATGAACATAACTCAGCCTTTCGTGATGCCTGACTTAAAAAATTCAGGCTGATTTATGTGATAACTGCTGAGTTATGCTCACATGTTATGACTGACTAATACATCGGCGGGCTGATTTCTGAAAAATCGGGCTGAGTTCTAGTTACTATACGGCTGAGTTAACTTTTGCGGTTGGTTAAATGATCGTCGACAGGTTGAGTTATGAGAGGTTATTGCGTCTGAGTTATATTTAATCAGCCGTAATAACATGGATTAAGTAAACTCAACTTAGTTACGGCTGACTTATTAACAAAAAGATTAATTACTCGAGTAGCATCCATTTGCTGGCTGATTTATAAGACGACTCGGCTGACTTATTAGCGAACATCTTTATTACGACTGATTTATTAGCAAAAGATCAATTACTAAAATATTATTAACGTATTGACTGACTTACCATGTACTTGGTGGCTGACTTATGTGTCGTTTAGTCGCCGACTTACCAATTTTCCAGGTCATCATCCATGTCAACTTTTATTTGCCATGTCATTACAACTGTGAAATTAGGGTTAATATTACAGACGTCGCTCTCTATTCTTTATCTTCATCTTCTTCTCTTTCTCTAAAATCTTATGGATCCGGTAATTATTGTTTCAGGTAATTGGATTAAGAAAAACAGATATGTATTCTAACCCGATAGCAGAGGATGTATATGTAACGACCCAAATTCTGAGGCCCAACAAAATTCAGGCCCATCGGAAGAAACCCTAGGTGAGACCTTATTTAAACACTTATGGCTCATTATTTTATTCAGAAAAATCCCTAAACAGTAGTTCTACAGAGTCTGAGCCGTCAAGCAGATCAGAGTCCGTACCATCAGTGTTACCATCGACAGAGACCCGATCCACCACTCCGTTACCGTCGACCACTGCAGGTATCAGCGCCGGCCACCGTCCCTTAGGTTTTATTTTGGCCAAATATTAAATGGATCATATCTCTCTAACCGCTTGTCGTTTCGAAAATCTGAGGCCACCACCGTGTCCGTGACGTTGAGACGAGTTCGGAGCACCAAGATCAGCCGGAGAAGACCACTGACGCGCCCACACGCGCAGATCCTTTCCCGCACCGTTCCACGCGTGTACGTCACGCCGCCGAGCCTCGCTGCACGCTCGTGCATGGATCTTACGCACCGCCAGTCGCCGCCTGTGATTCCGGTAAGCCGCCGACCTCCGCCCGGTTGCTGTGGAAACCGAAATTCACCCCTGTCAATTTTACGTAAGTTTAGGAACTTAGAGAAAACCTTACTTTTCCAGAGGACCCAGCTATCTGCGGAACCGCACACAAGCAATCAAGAAGACAATGAGAATAAAGTAAAGGTATATAAAACGAGATTTAGAGAGAGAAGGAGTCTTATTCTGAATTCGCGTAATAACGGTACAACAAGAGTAAGCCTTAGCTGCGTGAACCGTCGGCAAGATTCCTAGTTCTAGCAATCTAAGACTAAAACCCTAGTTGAGACGCAGCTCGATAACAAAAACAGAAAGTTTCCTAATGCTAAGTTTGGTGGTGAGAGCTCTGAAAAATTGTCCTCCCCTTCTATCCTTGGCCTTCTGCTTATATACTCCGCCCTTAGGCGGTTTAGTTCTTCCTTTTCGCCCAGATTCGAGTTTATCGGGAATCTTCCATTTATCTCGATCTTTCCATTTTCCTTGCGGAAATCTTCTATTTATCTTCAAACTTGACATTTATCTTCAAACTTGACATTTATCTTCTTTATGCGAGTAAATCGTCAAACCGTCATTATATCTTTGGCCTGGACATTGTTTTAAATCGCGAGTGGGCTTTTATCGCGTTTTAGAAGAGTCTGAGACGTTTTGAGATAAAAACCGTCTTACGATTTTCGACGAGAACATTTCCTGATACGATGCTCTTTCTATAAGATTTCTCGAATTAATTGTATAGTTTGACAATGTACGATGTTCTGTCTAATCGTTGCCGTTTAATACGATCTTCCCGAATTCTTACGAGAAAATAAGACTTTTACGATTTTTATCGTAAAACTCGAATGGTGAGATGGATCGAGATGAAACGAGAGATATTTCGACCATGGTTTAGAGCATGATCGAATCAAAGGACGTATGCCTTATGTCAAGGATGCGGAGGAGCAAGGCTCAGGATGATCAGCTCAACGTACGACGAGCCAAATCGGGTTGGTTCAGCTCGCCGTACGGCGAGCTGCTTTGAGGCGAGCTGGTCCGTGACGAACAAGTTCGCCGTATGGCAGGCTGAACCGGCTGGTTCGGCTCGTCGTACGTTGAACTGGTTCGGTCAAACCTGCTTGCGATTTACGGCAGATGCGGTTTTTTGCGGCTTTTCTCTTAACTTGGGCAATCGTGTAATCGGCGATTGTTTCATTCGTTTTTTCGAGATGACAATTTCCAAGTTTTCCATGGATTTCCTTTGTTCGGAAAGTCCTTAGGGTTTTATAAAACAATTTCCCGTGTTTTATAAAACGTATTTTTATTTTTGCTGAAAGTTTTGGTCATTGATTCTGTCGTACCGATTTTGACCCCAACAGTTATCCCCCCAACTCGTAAGAATCGTGGAGTTCTTGCGAGCGGTTTGAACTTTTTCGGGAAGTTTGGTAGAATTAGGCGGAACTTAATGGCCAAAAGTCCAAAGGTGAATAGTAAAACTTTTCTTATAAGTATGTGGAGTAAATTTTCAAATTCTTTATTCACTTCTTTCCACACAATTTTTCTAAGGTTCAAGAAGTTTTCTCTTCTCCTTTCTCATTGAATATTTTTCTCCTACTAAACATGTTTTTGAAGAGGAGAACTCAATCCGAAACAAGTTCTGATTGTTGTGGTTCCGAAGGAGCAAACTCGCAACCTCATGTTGTAGTTCCGAAGAAAGAATTTTCGATACCATTGGTTGATTCGGAAGATGTAGAAGCGTTATGGGCGGCTGGAGGTGAAACGAGGCCCACCAAACCCGGAACCTGGATTCCGCTTCCATTCCATGCTAATCGTATTGCCGGATGCCCAAGTTTGGTCTCTCCCAACGGTCTCGACTCCATTCGGGAGTTTTGCCAAGTGCCGGAGGCGGTAGAGTTTCGCCTTCCACTAGCTGGAGAAAGTGAAAAAAGTTGCGCACGACGGCTTTTTCACATGTTGTGACGCATTTTTGATGCAATGTCATTTTTGGTTTCCGATTCTGGAGATCATCATTCGATACCTTCATCGACTTGGGCTGTCGATTAGTCAATTGACCTCGTGCGGCTTGCAACAACTCGTCGGTCTTTTGACGTTGAGTTACGAGTGAGGAATGATCCTTAGCGTTGATCACCTCGAGGGTTTACTGAAACCCGAGGGGACGATACAAAGGATTAACTTATCCCCTCGCAAGGAAATAGTCATTGGTTCCTTGTCGAACTACCCTTCTTGGAAGAAGAATTTCTTCTATGTCCGTATCGAGAGTGCATCAGTGGTGGAGGGTTGCATTCCTTTTTTTGTGACCAATTGGGGTTGGAAAGGTATGTGATCTGAGTGCGCATGATCTTTTCGGATTTTTTTTTTACTCATTTGCTTTTTTTTCCACAGAGACCAACACTCTTCCTCCGTTTCCAACGGGTTTTTCAACCGTTATCGCTTCGCTCCAAAACGGGGAAGGTAGTTGTAACAGCTTCTTGCCGCAGCGCGTTCGCCGCGCAGTTGCTCTCTTCTGATCTCGATTTCTTGCAGCCTCTCCAGTTTTCGAAGAGGATCTGTGTACATGAAGCTTTGTCCCGTACACGGCCCCAACGAGGAGGGATAGATCGAGGCCTCGAAAAGATAAGCATGTGGTTGTTGACGATGGTACGCCTGGCTGCGCTGATTCTCCTCAAAACATACTCAAGGATTTCCTTGATAGTCAGGTAAATGTGAGCGTTTGGGCATGTGCTGGCGGATCGTCAACTTCCAACTTCTTGGATGGCGATCTTGGCTATGTTCCAGAGTTTTTGAAAGCATCCGAGCAAGCTAATGAGGTTCACTTTATTTTTAACGACTCATGATTGAATAGTTTCGCTATCCTTTCATCTTTCTTTCCGCAGGGCCTTCTGACTATGAGTTGAGCCTTGAATGATCGCAGCACCAATGCCCGTCTTGTTGAGTTTCGCGCGGATTTGTCGGAAAAAGAAGTTGCTCGCCTTCAAGCGGAGGTTGATGCTAACCCTGCCGAAGAATGGGCTGAAAGGGAGGTTGCTCGCGCGAAAAGCGAATGTGCGGCTAACTCTCATCGTGATAAGGAGCTTTCTGATCAGAGA